TCTCTTAATGGCTGAGGGGAATGGGGAAGGGTTGGGAAGGGATCCATTTCCTTGGGACCAGACTTCAATATTCAGTGAATTCCCTTACCTACTCCAAACCTTTGGGAAGTATCATATCGAGAAAACAAAATACAGACACAAGTGAAGAAACAGTAACTTTAATTTATATATACACACGGGACAGTTTGTAATAAAAACAAATGAACAAAAAAAAAAAAAAAAGCCAAATCCTCTCAGATATCTCCTGACCGCTGACCTTCGTCTGGCCCTGACAAAAGGGGTGGGAGGTGGGAACACCTGTGGAATATTGTGTAGGAGGACAAATGTAGTTCTCTGTCAGCATCGGAATGGCCTAACAAGTCAAAGGTAAGGATAGCCTAATATTTAATTTTGTATTGAAAGGTACCTAAATCACCCCCACATAGCGCAACTGTGCTGCCTAAGGCCACCATATTGATACTACTTAAAATCCAAGGAATGCCCATTACAGTCTACTGCCTACTACTTTTGCAGCCCTCAAGGAAGGAACAGAGTTTAACACACACAAATTACATTTATTAAGATGTTGTAGAGTTCACAGCACATGGATGAATCTCTTGCTGTGGGGGTAACATTCATAAGTCACATTCCTGTTTTTTGAAGGCTAGCCATCATTGGAGAATATGGCTATACTGAAATTACCAAAATGGAAAAGAGAAGTGGCTTTCAGTACTGTGGAAGACACCTGTCCACCTATGCTACAGAGAGGTTTCTAATAATGGTGACCCTTTTACATATAGCTGAATAGAAGTCTTTGAAGAGCTATAAAAGCAGACTAAGTACATTCGTCCTGCCATTAAACCTGAAGAACCAGCTTCAGTTTCTGCTAAAACTAAAGTTTGCTGGACTAGGTTTATAGGAATTGATGGCAATTCAAGAGAAAACTGACTATTCTAAGGTAGCAGACTGAGTTTCCATGGAATAGGAATAGAGAGTTACAAATAACAGTCCACCTGCCTTTTTACAGCCTGTCTTATTTGGGAACCATGTCATGATGGAGCATAGGCAGGGTAAGGGGGCTGGCTTCAGTCTTGTATACCCAGAGGTATTTTCAGGGGCATGAGAGGTCATATTACAATTTACCAGCCTCAGATTCCAGTTCCTGCCATAGCTTGAGGTCCTCCCCAGGCTCTGCAAAGGAGGCTTCCCCAACCAGGGCTGCCAGGTGGATGTGTAGAATCCTCTGGGTCTCCCATGGCTTCCTCAGGAACAGTCTCCAAGGCCTGAGCTGCCTTCTCACCCTGCCCATCCCCAGCACCCTACCATACAATCAGGATGAAGGGACCAAGGAGAGGGTCATGACTGAATTCAGATTCACTACTTGCAGCCCAAGACACCCCATGATCCAGCTTATCATAGCAGGAGTAGGTACTTGGTCCTCTCCCAGAGTGAATTTATGAATCCTTCACTTCACCCTCTGGTTCAGGAGCCTGAGATACTTCATATGCTCTTTGCACTTGGACAGAGCCTGGTGAATGTCTGGCTTCTCTAGCCTTTGTGACATCTCCAAATATAGGTGACTGTTCCTGCTGGTACAGGCAAGGTTATGGAGGATGGTGTACTCTGTTCTTTATATTTAGGGTAAGGGTCAGGCAGCAAAGTGATCAGTGCATGCATAGGGAAATGGCCCAATAGGACTATCAGTACCAGTGACCTGTCACATAGCCTTTGTAAACATCTACATCACACAGTAGAGGGGATACAGAGCCATGTTACAGCAGAGACGTGTACATACCCACACCACTTATGCATGCTAGCTTTTGTGCACTAGACTATCCTTCAGGTATGATCTTCGGATGAGGAAGTAGAGGGGTTATGGTGCAATGATGAACATGTATCCACATACACGTGTAAATGTATATCTACCTCAGGGTGAACAGATCTTATGACCAAAAGTTAAATGAAACAAATTGGATTTCACAAAGAAGAACTCAAAAAGGAACTCCCACAACTTCCTGCAGACAGTGGTTGTAATCGTGTTTCTGTGGGTATGTCTACACATTGGAGATATTTTGGGTTATGAGGTATACTGAAATAGCTACCTCACGTCTTAGAAACACATCCATTATTTTGAAATATTTTGTCATCCCTGTAAACCTTGTTGCATGAGGGTTAAGGGATGGCTAAAATAGTGCATTATTTAGAAATTTGGCACTGTGTAGACAGCGCCAAATTTTGAAATCTTATTTCGAGTTTCGGGCGCTGTGTAGACACACCCTAGGAGACCTTTCCCTTTTCTTATCTAGATTTTACCTCTCTAAGTAGTAATTATCTTCAGTTGTAGCCAGTTCCTTTCTCCTCAGGAAAAAGCCCACTTCAATCTATTCAATAAGGACACACAACTGTCTTCTTCCAGGACTTGGAATTATAGGCATGTAGATATAGGACTAGAAAGGATCTCTATAGTCTCAAATCCAGCCCCTCAATCTGAGGCAGGACCAAGTAAATCTAGATTATCGCTAGAAGGTGTTTGTCCGATCTGTTCTTAAAAACCTCCAATGATGAGGATCCCAAAACCTCCTCTGGAAGCCTATTGCAGGTTTACTTATTGTTGTATTGTCAGTGTGTTGTATCACACAAAGAAGAATACATGGACCTCAAATGTCTCCATGGCAGCACTTGAAGCTACAGTATGGTACATGCTCTGTATTCGGGAAAAAGGTGTAGTTTCAGAGCAGTAAAGAGAAATCTCCAGCTACATGGGATTAGTTAAAAAACATAACAGCCTTAGGTTATTTCTTCTGTGTAGTCCCTGACTGGAATCCTCTGACAGCCATAGCTGGGGGATATATATGATAGTAAGGCTCCTCCAATGGAGAGTAGACAGCCAGAGCCTCCTGTAAATCCCAGAGGCTTTGGCAGGCATGGTAGCAGACCACATTGCCTCTTTCACGGATGGGGAAAATCTCACAACATGCCAAAAAGAGTTAGTTTGAGGGGGATGTCTGCAAGGTAAAGCTAGCAGAAACTCTACCCAGCAGCCCCCTTCTTTGCATTTTTTTCCACAAAGGGATAGT